GGACAACGATCGTGGTGTGTCCCGGGGACACGGCCACCCCCGGGGGGGGACACGGGAGGGGGGGCTGCTGGAAATGGGGGTGTCCAGGGTAAAAGCATGTGAAACGGGTGTAAGTCCGTGTAAAACCCGTGTAAATCCATGGAAAGCCCGTGTAAGACCAGTGTAAACCCATGTAAACCAGTAAACCCATGTGAAACCCGTGTAACCCCGTGTAAACCCATGTAAAACCCGTGTAAACCCATGTAAGACCAGTATAAACCCATGTAAGACCGGTGTAAGACCAGTGTAAACCCACCTAAATGTGCAAACCCATGTAAAGTCCATGTAAGACCAGTGTAAACCCATGTCAAACCTGTGTAACCCCATGTAAAACCCATGTAAGACCACTTTAAACACACCTAAATGTGTAAACCCATGTAAAGTCCGTGTAAGACCAGTGTAAGCCCACATAAAACCCATGTAAGAGCAGTGTAAACCCACCTAAATGTGTAAACCCATGTAAAGTCCACATAAGAGCAGTGTAAACCCGTCAGACCCATGTAACCCCATGCAAAACCCGCGTAAGACCAGTGTAAACCCACCTAAATGTGTAAACCCATGTAAAGTCCGTGTAAGACCAGTGTAAGCCCACATAAAACCCATGTAAGACCAGTGTAAACCCACCTAAATGTGTAAACCCATGTAAAGTCCATGTAAGACCAATGTAAACCCATGTCAAACCCATGTAAACCCATGTAAAACCCATGTAAGACCAGTGTAAACCCACCTAAATGTGCAAACCCATGTAAAGTCCATGTAAGACCAGTGTAAACCCATGTCAAACCCGTGTAACCCCATGTAAAACCTGTGTAAGACCCGTGTAAATCCACCTAAATGTGTAAACCCATGTAAAGTCCACGTAAGACCAGTGTAACCCCACGTAAGACCAGTGTAAACCCATGTAAGACCAGTGTAAACCCACCTAAATATGTAAACCCATGTAAAGTCCATGTAAGACCCATGTAACCCATGTAAAGTCCATGTAAGACCAGTGTAAACCCAAGTAAATGCGGAAACCCAGGTAAAGTCCACATAAACCCCACATAACCCCATGTAAGACCAGTGTAACCCCATGTAAAACCCATGTCACCCACGTAAAACCCATGTAAACCCATGTAAGACCAGTGTAACCACATGTAAAACCAGTGTAACTCCATGTAAGACCATGTAAAACCCACGTAAACATGTAAACCCATGTAAAACCAATGTAAACCCATGTAAGACCAGGTAAACTTGAGTAAACCCGTGTAAAAGCCAAGTAAACCTGTATAAACACAGGTAAAACATGTGTAAACCCAGGAAAAACCCATATAAACCCATGTAAGACCAGTGTAACCCCATATAAAACCATGTAAAACCTGTGTAAGCCCATGTAAGACCGTGTAAACTAGGGTAAACCTGTGTAAAACCCAAGTAAATCTGTATAAACACATGTAAAACGTGTATAAACCCATGAAAGACCAGTGTAAAAGTAGTGTAAAGCTGTGTAAAACCAGTGTAAACCCATATAAAACTATGTAAACCTCTGTAAACCCATGTAAAACCTGTGTAAACCCATGTAAGACCGGTGTAAACCCATGTAAGACCATGTAAAACCTGTGTAAATTTGAGTAAACCCATGTGAAAGCCAACTAAACCTATATAAACACAGGTAAAACATGTGTAAACCCATATAAAACCAGTGTAAACCATGTAAAACCCATGTAAACCCATGTAAGACCAGTGTAACCCCATGTAAGACCAGTGTCAAACCAGTGTAAGCCCACGTAACCCATGTCCAACCCATGTAAAACCTGTGTAAGACCAGTGTAAACCCAAGTAAACGTGTGCAAAACCATGTAAAACGTATGTAAACCCATGTAAGGCCCACGTAAGACCAGTGTAAACCCAAGGAAACCCATGTCAACCCATGTAAAACCCATGTAAAACCAGGAACAACTCATGTAAACGCACGTAAACCCGTGTAAAACCCATGTGAAACCCGTGTTGCGCCATCCCCAAACCCCCCCATCCCCGAATGTGTCGCAGCAGAGGGACGCCAGCCTTTTCAAAAGGATGAAAAGAAATATTTGGGAGTATTTTGTGCAAAGCTTTTGGCTTTTTTTTTTTTTTTCCCCCCAGAAATACCCCGTTCTGCAGAGCCCAGGCTGGAGGTACTGGGATTACTCACGGGGGGGGCGCGAAATTAAGCGTGTAGGAAGATCTTTGCGTGTCTGCGGAGGAGACCCAGGGGAATTAAGGGGTGAGTAAAGTCCCCAAATGAGTAAAATCATCACCTCGCTCTCCTTCCGCCCCCAGCGCCGCGACTGAACCCGTCCCTGCTTCAGATTAAACTGGGCAAAGCTCTGGGTGCTGGGGATTTCCTCGTGGAGGGGGGGTGACGGGGGGCTCAGGTGCCATCAGGGACATTCCTCCCGGCTCAACCCAACACCTGTGAGGAAATTAAAGCCCAGATTGATTAAATCAAGCCCTTTGCAAGAGTAAAAAAACCCCCACCCTGCCCCTGCAGTTGGGGTTCCTGGGCTGGGCTCTTTTCTTTCCATTCCCCCCCCCTCCCCACCTGCTTTCCTTGGCTTAATTTCTCCTAACGAGGCACAAAGTAACACAAATAAATAATCAGAGGGGTCAGGGCTGAAAGCAGGACCCCGCTGGGGTGAGATCGGAGCCTGAGGAATCTCCAGCTTAAACAGAAAAGGTGGACAAAGGGCGAGGAAACAATAATTTCTCCTTCTTTTTACGCAGCCAGAGTTAAACTTTGTCTTTTCCATCCCCCTTGGGGTTCATGTGGGATTTTTCCTCGGCCTCGCGCTGAAGCTTTGGGTGTTTTAACCTGGGTGCTCAGTGCCCCTCTTGGGGACTCCCCAATTTTCCTCTGCAACAGACCCAGATGTTTATGGAATTTAAAAAAAACACACTCTGCCAGGGAGATCCCAACACATCCCTGGGATTTCAACCCAAGGGGTGCTTTGCTGGGGAAGCGATGGGAGAAATTCCCCCAGTTCCATCACATCGGGGCTGTTCTCTGGTTGGGTTTCCGTTGGATTTGGGTGGGCAGAGCTGTGAAGGAAGGGGCCTGAAGCGCCTCTGGGACACGGTTTGGGGTTCAGGCCCCTCAAAAAGTCACCACACACACCCCCGTGTCACGGCCGAGGTGACCTCTCGCCGTTTCTGGCGGACACAGAACCTGCAAGGCGCAGGGAAAGGGGTTTCTGCGCTGCCACAAAGCAAAGCTGACACAGACAGGACCTTCTGCGGCCGCAGAATCATCCTCATCCTCCTCCTCCTCAGCGTCCTCGTGTCGGTATCGCTCGGCTTCGCTCTTACAGGTCTACGGCTGCGTAAAAAGTGGGGGAAAAATATACCTGTAAGCGTCCCAGCTACCAAAAACCTCATTCACCTTTCCCCTCTCGCTCCCAGAGGTCTCAATGTCTATTTTTAACCCCCATCGGTCCCTCAGAGCAGGGCAGGAGGGGAGGGAGAGGCTGCATTGGTTGGATTTCACACTGTTCAAAGTGATAAAGTGTTCACATCCCAGGATACGCTTTTCATTTCTCTTGATTTTGCTTTAATTACTTATGCTAGCACTTCCCGGCAGCTTGGCAAATTACTTTCTTGGGCTTTGCGTTGGGGACCTAAATTCAGAGCCCAGCTCTCCTCTTATTAAGGCCAGAACAAACCAGAAGGAGGTCAAACCTAAAGTCAGCCAAGAGCTCAAGGAATAAACCGGCTGTGAGGGAATCCCGGCCAGGGCTCCTGCTGCCATAAAACACAACTCCCATCCCCACCCTGACTCCAGAAACGCCTTCCGCCTCCCAGCACTGGCCAAGCAACAGCTCCTGCCTTAAAAAATCAACCAGGCAGGGATGAATAGGCAGGAAGGGAAGCAGCCAGCTGGCAAGGAGCTGCCCGCCCCCCGTCGCTCTGTCCCCCTGCAGTGACACAGCAGCCTGAGGACCCGAGGGCCTCTCCGGGCACGCCGGGAGCTGTAGTCCCCGGTTCTTCGGCTGGGTTTGGCGATTAACTAGGCGGCCTGGCGAGCAGGGCGGGGAAAAGGGCCGGGGGAGGAAGGCGAGGAGCGCCGGGAGCTGTAGTCCCGGCAGCCGGGGCCCATCACACCCGGCAAGGGCGAGTAACCCCGGGGGGTGCTTGGGCCGGAGCCCACCCGCATTGAAGGCAACCGGGAGCTGACGGCAGGCCCCGGGGAGGCCCCATAAAGCCTGAGGGTTTGTTTAACATCACGGTTCTTCCACCGGAGGCTTTTGCAGGAGGCCGGGGCCAATCACGGCCTCCACCCGGGCTAGGCCGCACTTTACCTCGGGGCCCGGACGGGCCTGACTAGGCCTCGTCTGATCTGACAAGGCCTAACTTGGCCTGGATTGACAGAGCCAGGCCCAAACCTGCCCCTAACGCCTCCCCACCCCTTCTACCGATTCCCCTCACCCCGCCCTGGCTCCCTGGGGCCTTCCCGCTCCCCCGGGGCCTTCCCGCCCTGTCACGTTAGCATCTCCCGCCCCCGCCATGTCGGGTCGCGCGGGGCACGCCGGGAGCGGTGGTCCCGCTGGGCGGGTTGAGCAGACTACATTTCCCATGATACTGCGCGTCAGGGGGGTGCGCTGGGAGGCGGGCGGGGACTGCGCGCGGGGCACGCCGGGAGTTGTAGTCCGGCGGCGCTGAGGTGCCGGGAAGGAGTAGGGGGGGACGCTGCCGGCAGCCATTATCTGGGAGCGCGGCGCGCCGGGCGCGGAGCCGGGCTCTGGGCTGTCTCGCCGGCTCTCCGAGGCCGCGGCCTTGCCGCTGGGCGGAGGTGGGGCCGCCATGGCGGCTTAGCCTCGCCCCCAGCCGCGGAGGCAACCGGGAGCTGACGGCGGGCCTCGGGGAGGCCCCATAAAGCCTGAGGGTTTGTTTAACATCACGGTTCTTCCACCGGAGGCTTTTGCAGGAGGCCGGGGCCAATCACGGCCTCCACCCGGGCTAGGCCGCACTTTACCTCGGGGCCCGGACGGGCCTGACTAGGCCTCGTCTGATCTGACAAGGCCTAACTTGGCCTGGATTGACAGAGCCAGGCCCAAACCTGCCCCTAACGCCTCCCCACCCCTTCTACCGATTCCCCTCACCCCGCCCTGGCTCCCTGGGGCCTTCCCGCTCCCCCGGGGCCTTCCCGCCCTGTCACGTTAGCATCTCCCGCCCCCGCCATGTCGGGTCGCGCGGGGCACGCCGGGAGCGGTGGTCCCGCTGGGCGGGTTGAGCAGACTACATTTCCCATGATACTGCGCGTCAGGGGGGTGCGCTGGGAGGCGGGCGGGGACTGCGCGCGGGGCACGCCGGGAGTTGTAGTCCTGCGGCGCTGAGGTGCCGGGAAGGAGTAGGGGGGGACGCTGCCGGCAGCCATTATCTGGGAGCGCGGCGCGCCGGGCGCGGAGCCGGGCTCTGGGCTGTCTCGCCGGCTCTCCGAGGCCGCGGCCTTGCCGCTGGGCGGAGGTGGGGCCGCCATGGCGGCTTAGCCTCGCCCCCACCCTCCCCTTCCTCCCCGCTACGGTCGCCGAAGGCGCGGCGGCGGCGCGGCCTAGCCGGGAGGGCGGATCCTCGGCCTCGCGTTGCGGCTCCTGCCCGCGGAGGGCCGCCCTCCTCGGGGGGCCATGTCCCTGGTGGCCTATGCCAGCAGCGAAGAGGAGAGCGATGCGGAGGAGGCCGCGGGTGAGGAGGCCCGGACGGGCCTGACTAGGCCTCGTCTGATCTGACAAGGCCTAACTTGGCCTGGATTGGACGGGCCCGACTAGGCCTCGCCTGATCTGACAAGGCCCAACCTGGCCTGGATTGACTGAGCCAGGCCCAAACCTGCCCCTAACGCCTCCCCACCCCTTCTACCGATTCCCCTCACCCCGCCCTGGCTCCCTGGGGCCTTCCCGCTCCCCCGGGGCCTTCCCGCCCTGTCACGTTAGCATCTCCCGCCCCCGCCATGTCGGGTCGCGCGGGGCACGCCGGGAGCGGTGGTCCCGCTGGGCGGGTTGAGCAGACTACATTTCCCATGATACTGCGCGTCAGGGGGGTGCGCTGGGAGGCGGGCGGGGACTGCGCGCGGGGCACGCCGGGAGTTGTAGTCCTGCGGCGCTGAGGTGCCGGGAAGGAGTAGGGGGGGACGCTGCCGGCAGCCATTATCTGGGAGCGCGGCGCGCCGGGCGCGGAAGCGGGCTCTGGGCTGTCTCACCGGCTCTCCGAGGCCGCGGCCCTGCCGCTGCGCGGAGGTGGGGCCGCCATGGCGGCTTAGCCTCGCCTCCACCCTCCCCTTCCTCCCCGCTACGGTCGCCGAAGGCGCGGCGGCGGCGCGGCCTAGCCGGGAGGGCGGATCCTCGGCCTCGCGTTGCGGCTCCTGCCCGCGGAGGGCCGCCCTCCTCGGGGGGCCATGTCCCTGGTGGCCTATGCCAGCAGCGAAGAGGAGAGCGATGCGGAGGAGGCCGCGGGTGAGGAGGAGGAAGCCGCCGCTTCTTCTCCTCCTCCTCCTGCTGCAGCTGAGCAGCCCCCGGCCCGGGGGCTCTTTGCCACCTTGCCTCCCCCCAAAGCCCCCGTGATGCCCCCGCTGCCCCCGCCTCACCAGCCGCTGGGCAGCGGTTTCCCTCTGCTGCCGCCGCCGCCCCACGGCGGGCCGCCCCCTCCTTTCCTTATGGGCCCCCCGCCTGGCATGAGGGGCTTCGGGACCCCTCCACCGGGCATGAGCCCGGCCCAGGCCTCGGCCGTCAGCCTCCCTGAGCCGGCTGCCAGCGGGAACGGGAGCGGGGAGCAGCCCAGGCTGGGGGGGCTCCTCCTGCCTCCCCCGAGGAACGCTGCCACCACCACCACGACCGCTGCCTCTACCCTCAACTTGCCCCCTCCTGTCTCGGCCTCTGCAGCTCTGCCCGGGGCTGGGGTGGATTTGAACCTCCCCAAGCCAAAGAAGAGGACGGAACCGGTGCGGATCACGGTGCCCGAGTTGCAGAAGGGAGATGTGAGTATGAAGGAAACCACCGGCTCTACCCCAGGGGGGTGGGTGGGTGGGTTTCCTTGCTCAAGCCCTCCCGAGGAGGAGCGCCTTCGCTTCCTGCGTGAAATCCTCTCCCCGGAGCAATCCCCTCGTGGATTTGTTTGCCCATAAAGCACAGCGTCTCCTTCCTCGCTCTCTTCCCATCGTAACACAGCAGGAGGTACCCAAACCTGTTGTTGGGGCATCTACGGGGAGATTTGTCCCTGGCTGCCAGCCCTAATCCTAAAGCGCTTTGCAGAATTAAACCGATAGAGAAACCTTATTTATAATCATAATACAGCAAAACCCAGATTATCTGCACCTTTATTTATTACTGAAGCTAACGAGTCGATGATGTGGAGCTGTATGGCCTTGTGGCCCAAAAAAAGGTCTCTCGTTTTGCTTGCTGGGGTAGATTTTCAATTATTGTCCATTTATTGCTTTATTTATCTAAAGGCTTCAGGCGTCCTCCGGGCCTTTAGGTAATTGTTTTTCTCTTAATTGGTGATTTTTTGTGTTTGCAGTGCCCCTTGACTTACGGGGCTCCTGAGCACTGAATTCTGACAGCCCACTGGGAAAGCAGGTCCCTGCTCCCCCCTTCTTTTTTTTTGTCCCTGGGTGTCCCTATTGATCCTTTCACTCGGGGATGCCACTGTCCTAGGGTGGAGGTGACAGTTGTGGGGTTGTATCTGACCTTGGTCACTAGTTCTGGTGAGACCAGAAGCTCCTGTGAGAGTCGTGGGGCTCTGTCTGGCCGTGGTCACTAGTTCTGGTGAGACCAGAAGCTCCTGTGAGAGTCGTGGGGCTCTGTCTGGCCGTGGTCACTAGTTCTGGTGAGACCAGAAGCTCCTGTGAGAGTCGTGGGGCTCTGTCTGGCCGTGGTCACTAGTTCTGGTGAGACCAGAAGCTCCTGTGAGAGTCGTGGGGCTCTGTCTGGCCGTGGTCACTGGTTCTGGTGAGACCAGAAGCTCCTGTGAGAGTCGTGGGGCTGTGTCTGGCCTTGGTCACTGGTTCTGGTGAGACCAGAAGCTCCTGTGAGAGTGGTGGGGCTGTGTCTGGCCACGGTCGCTGGTTCTGGTGAGACCAGAAGCTCCTGTGAGAGTCGTGGGGCTGTGTCTGGCCACAGTCACTGGTTCTGGTGAGACCAGAAGCTCCTGTGACAGTCGTGGGGCTCTGTCTGGCCTTGGTCACTGGTTCTGGTGAGACCAGAAGCTCCTGTGAGAGTTGTGGGGCTGTGTCTGGCCATGGTCCCTGGTTCTGGTGAGACCAGAAGCTCCTGTGAGAGTCGTGGGGCTGTGTCTGGCCTTGGTCACTGGTTCTGGTGAGACCAGAAGCTCCTGTGACAGTTGTGGGGCTGTGTCTGGCCTTGGTCACTGGTTCTGGTGAGACCAGAAGCTCCTGTGACAGTTGTGGGGCTGTGTCTGGCCTTGGTCACTGGTTCTGGTGGGACCAGAAGCTCCTGTGACAGTTGTGGGGCTGTGTCTGGCCTTGGTCACTGGTTCTGGTGAGACCAGAAGCTCCTGTGACAGTTGTGGGGCTGTGTCTGGCCTTGGTCGCTGGTTCTGGTGAGACCAGAAGCTCCTGTGACAGTTGTGGGGCTGTGTCTGGCCTTGGTCACTGGTTCTGGTGAGACCAGAAGCTCCTGTGACAGTTGTGGGGCTGTGTCTGGCCTTGGTCACTGGTTCTGGTGGGACCAGAAGCTCCTGTGACAGTTGTGGGGCTGTGTCTGGCCACGGTCACTGGTTCTGGTGAGACCAGAAGCTCCTGTGAGAGTCGTGGGGCTGTGTCTGGCCTTGGTCACTGGTTCTGGTGAGACCAGAAGCTCCTTTGAGAGTCGTAAGGCTGTGTCTGGCCACGGTCACTGGTTCTAGTGAGACCAGAAGCTCCTGTGAGAGTTGTGGAGCTCTGTCTGGCCACGATCACTGGTTCTGGTGAGACCAGAAGCTTCTGTGATGGTCATGGGGCTGTGCCTGGCTGTGGTCACTGGTTCTGGTGAGACCAGAAGCTCCTGTGACAGTTGTGGGGCTCTGTCTGGCCACGGTCGCTGGTTCTGGTGAGACCAGAAGCTCCTGTGACAGTTGTGGGGCTGTGTCTGGCCTTGGTCACTAGTTCTGGTGGGACCAGAAGCTCCTGTGACAGTTGTGGAGCTCTGTCTGGCCATGATTACTGGTTCTGGTGAGACCAGAAGCTCCTGTGACAGTTGTGGGGCTGTGTCTGGCCTTGGTCACTGGTTCTGGTGAGACCAGAAGCTCCTGTTGGCTGTAGGAGGAGCCGAACTGAGAAGCTTTGGGGCATTTCCATGGGGACAGGGAGGTCCAGGCAGAGATTGGACTTGGATGGGTTTAGAAACAGCCTCAATTAAGGTGGTTCTGCCGGCGTCTTGGGCCTGGGGGAGCTGAACCCAAGCCAGGGCATCTTTAGCTTTGCTGGAAGAGCAGCTTGGGGGGGGGGACATGGGGAAAGCAAGTGAGGGGACACGGGCTTCCTGGTGGTCCCCAAACCACTCGGTGTGTGGTTTGGCAAATCCCAGAGGCAGAGCTCCTGGTGCCAGAGCTCCCCAGCACGGCAGAGGTTTGCCGGGTGGTGGGACGCACGCGTCCCCCTTTTAGGCAGAGGGATGAGGAATATCCCCTTCTCTCGTCCCCCACTTTTTGCTTCCTGGCTTTGGTGCTTCGTAATCGAGTGTGAGGGCTCTTGGCTTCCTCCCTGGTTGAGCTCAAATGAAAGAAGATTTATTTCTCCCTCCGTGTTTCAATGGCTTTGAGCAGAAATACTGCAGGTCCTCGGCGTCAAGCGAGAGAACAAACGTTAAAGGGAGTAAAAGAACCTTAAAACTGGGGCTGGTCCGAGCGGTGTCCGTTTGGGATGCTCTTGGATCTCTTTGGGATGCTCTTGGATCTCTTTGGGATGCTCTTGGATCTCTTTGGGATGCTCTTGGATGCTCTTTGGATCTCTTGACATCCTCTCTCCTTCCCTCATTCTCCTTAAAATACCTCCCCAGCTTTTTATTTCCACCTGCGGGGACGCTCCTGGGCAGTCTCTGCTTTATCTCCTCGCTCCCCAACGCCACACACACACACGGGGGTTTTATGGCAACTCTTGACTTGACTTTATTTATGCGTGTTCTTTGTCTTTGTCCTGTTTTATAATTTAGAGGGTAAACTGGCAGAAGAACCTCGTTTCCTGTAATCTCTTTAAAGTGCTCTGCAAAGCTCTAAAGCGATAAAGACGTTAAAGGGCCTTTGCTGCTGCTGCTGCCAGAGGCTGGGACCAGACTTTCTGCTCCGGTTTGAAGTGGATATTTAGCTGGATATTTAGCGGCTCCTCCGACCTTATTGTCAACAATTCCCCGTCAAACCTCCCCCAGTGGGTTTTCACACCCTGCCTTTGTGCAGTTTTGCACTTCCCCATCTCTGTTAAATTAACTCGCCACACACACACACACACACACACGGGGGTTTTATGGCAACTCTTGACTTGCCTTTATTTATGCGTGTTCTTTGTCTTTGTCCTGTTTTATAATTTAGAGGGTAAACTGGCAGAAGAACCTCGTTTCCTGTAATCTCTTTAAAGTGCTCTGCAAAGCTCTAAAGCGATAAAGACGTTAAAGGGCCTTTGCTGCTGCTGCTGCCAGAGGCTGGGACCAGACTTTCTGCTCCGGTTTGAAGTGGATATTTAGCTGGATATTTAGCGGCTCCTCCGACCTTATTGTCAACAATTCCCCGTCAAACCTCCCCCAGTGGGTTTTCACACCCTGCCTTTGTGCAGTTTTGCACTTCCCCATCTCTGTTAAATTAACGTCCTCTCTTCCTCTGAAGGAGGGCGCCGACTTTATGCTGCGCAGTTCCCCTCCTTTGCCTTCCTTTGGGTTTATTTGCCTGTGATTTCTTAAAAAATTAATAAATATCCGTGAGCTGGTGGCTCCCTAAATGCTGATTTTCTGGCAGGAGCTAAATAGCTGAGTGTCTCTGCCCACCCACTCTGCTTTAGAGCAGCAGGAAAAAACCGCCTTGAAAATTGGGGAATTTTGGGTCAGCGAATCCTTTTTTTCGGTCTTGTTTTGTTTGTTCCATGAGCTGGAGCTGGAGTTTGGCTCAATCTTGCGAGATTATTAAGAGGCGACGCCGATTTCTTTGCGAAGCTCCGGGTTTTACGGCAAAAAGCTGCCTGTTTTTTTTTTTTGCTTCTGCCCAAAGTGCCGCAGACCCGGCTATTTTTAAATCCAGTGGCCGGCGCTGCGGTCCTGCTTTCACTGGGGACAGTTTCTTTATCTCTGCTGGCGGTGACCGGGACAGGCTTTTATCTCTCCCTGCCCTCACATAGATGCCTCGGCGAGACTGGGGAAAAAAAGCTTGTCCACATCCCAGTGTTGCTTTTTAGCTCCTCTCCTGGCAGATTATGAACCCGGATCCTCGTTACCGTGATTCTTCGGCTGGTTCAAACTGAAAATTAATAAATTGCTTTGTTTTTTGTCCTTTAATTAATTTTATTTCCTTTTGTTTGCCTTCGATATTTATTTCCTTTTATCTCCAGTTGTGCTAAGCTCTGTTTTTCTTTCTCAGTCAGATTCGGAGGAAGATGAACCAGCCAAGAAGAAAAACACTCTTCAGGTAAACATTGGATTCAACAAGTTTCAGGGGAAAGAAGTGTTTCACTGAGACAGATCTTGGGGTAAATCAGCCACCAAATTTAGCGTATAAAATTCCTGAAATCCCCTAAAGTCGAGTCTCTTTTTGGGGGGAGCAGCTTCATATATTAAAATCTCAGGAAAAGAGGTTTTAATTTGGGAAGTTGGCGGGTGTTTCCAAGAACCACGTTTCCCTTCAAAGTCCCCCTGGCCTTTTGTTTGGGAAAGCCCCGCAGCGCGTTGGAATTAGGGAAAGGATTGTGCTGAGCAACGGGAAAGCCATTAACGGAGGAGATAATTGGCAGGGTGTCGGGAAAAGCTAAATAGTCTCACTCTTCTTTCTCTTAATTTCTCTCAACCCTTTGCTCTGCCTGAAACTCGACTCGACCAGGGACGCGGCGAGGGCTCTGGCTTGTCCGCTTTGCTTCCTCAACCCAAAAACCTGACGGTGAAAGAGACCAATCGGGTGCTTTTACCCTACGCTTTCTCGAGGAAAACGGGAGAAAACGCCTCCGACTCCAAGCCCTCGAAAGCCCCCACCTCTTCCTCCAAAAGCAAACCTCTCTCCAAGCCGGCGGTGCCCACCACTCCTTCTCCCTCCGCCATCAAAGCCGCTGCCAAAAGCGCTGCCCTGCAGGTAACCAAGCAGATCACGCAGGAGGAAGACGACAGCGACGAAGAGCTGGAGCCCGAGAACTACTTCTCCTTGTCTGACAGGAGCGAGCCCAGCCTGCTGGGGGCAGAGACCTACGTTTATTCTGCCACGGTGGGGGCCGAGGACCCACCGCCCGGGACGGAGCCCGAACCCCAATTCCAGGACGCCGCCGCCAACGCCCCGCTGGAATTCAAGACGGGAGCGGGCTCCAGCGGTGCCCAGCACAGCTGGCTGCCCAAACCCGAGGAAGACTACGGTGGCCAGACCTACGGCCAGTTCCCCGCCTACGGTGAGGCCGGCGCGGCTGGTGCTTATTATCAGGTGGGTTCACTCAAGGGGAGGTGAAGTTTTGAAACCAAAAATGTGCCCGGAATGAAGGGATCTGACTTTACTGGAGCAGGATGTGGCTTGTGGGAATCCCAAAGTGGTAGGAGACCATTAGAAATAGAATAGAATTTTATAGAATTGTCCAGGCCGGAAGGGACCTCCAAAGGCCATCTAGTCCGACCTCCCCACAGTCAGCAGGGACACCCCCAACTAGACCAGGTTGCCCAGGGCCTCGTCGAGCCTCCCCTTGAATATCTCCAGGGAAAGGGCCTCAACCACCTCCCTGGGCAACCTGTTCTAGTGCTCCACCACCCTCACAGTGAAGAACCCTCTCCTCATCTCCAGTCTAAATCTGTTCCCCTCCAGCTTGAATCACAGAATCTTCTAGGTTGGAAGGGACCTTAAAGATCATCTTGTCCAACCATCAACCTAACTGACAAAAATAGACACCCCCACAACAAACAAGGAGCATCATCACTAAACCATCCCTCCCAGCACTACATCAACCCGGCTTTTGAACACCTCCAGGGATGGTGCCTCAACCCCCTCCCTGGGCAGCCCATTCCAAGGGCTGAGAACCCTTTCAGTGAAAAAATTTTTCCTAATATCCAGCCTGAACCTCCCCTGGTGTAACTTGAGGCCATTTCCTCTCGTCCTGTCGCCTGTGACTTGAGAAAAGAGACCGACCCCCATCTCTCTACACCCTCCTTTCAGGGAGTTGGAGAGAGCAAGAAGGTCTCCCCTCAGCCTCCTCTTCTCCAGGCTGAATAACCCCAGTTCCCTCAGCATCTCCTCATCACACTTATTCTCCAGACCCCTCACCAGCTTTGT